TCGCAAAAGTCATTTATTTTCTAAAGGAAAGTAATAAAAACAATCGCAACTGTGTACATCTAGTACTTCCGAAAATGTGCCTCACATGTAGGGAAGAAATTCCACTTGCCTACAAGTCAATACAACAGGAAATCAAAATCAAAATACGATGAACAGTTAACAGGGTAAAAATTTCAATCGTTATTTAATTGTCTTAAACCTAAAGTATAGTGCTCGTTTCTCTTTTCATATTGGCTTACATTAATCAACATCTGCAGACGATCCCAGAAAGACCACCACCAGGTGGCAGAATTCCCCGAGCCTCCACCACCTGGAGACGAGTTTGTTACACCAAGAACTGGCCAGAAGGTGGCGACGTAGCCTCAATTTCTCAACACCAATAATCATTCAGCAATTTAGCCTTCTTAGTTTAAATCTTTTTATACATCAAATGAACAGAAACATGCAACTGTCTATGCCAGAAAGTTTTCATTTCCTTACATTCTGAATGTTGATCTGTAGCTCCATTTTGTAGTGATTGAAGTCTTTGGCAAGTTCATGGCCCTGATGATAGAAAGTAAACATTCCCTGAAAAAAGGACAGCATCTAAGGCAAAGGAGAAAGGGTGACATTAACACGGGAGAATCTCAGGGGGCTGAAAGAGAAAGGGCCAAAGACCAACAGTCAAGTATTTCAAACCCCTCATCTCCGGAAGTAAAGTAATTACAAAAGAGGCACTTAAGTCTAATGGCCCAGCATTTACAAATTGTCCATTACAGAAACCAAAGAAGACGGGATTGCTTCTCCTTTCAATACCAGAGCATCATTGTACACGATGCTATCCAGCAGAAATGGCATTCGGAATCATGCTTTTGTTCACTGCAGTCGAGCGAATCTCTATCTTCATTTATGAAAATCTCAGGGCCAAGTGACACCACACCCTCTGTAAATCTGCAGGCTCCAGAGCAGCCTCGCAACATCTCTAAAGTTCTGCAGGTTCGGGGAATGCAGCGCCTTCCCCAGAGGCAGACAGGAGGAGAGGAAGGGCTGTAATTAGCCCAAACTGCCCCTGTAATTAGACGGCAGCTTCTCTGCCCCACGTGTAAAGCAAATCTGAAATGAACAAAAGAGATTTGGGAAAAATGAAATCCGTTTTCTTTGGAATGTACAGCAGAGGCCTCGCTCGGGCAAGGCTGACTGAGCCCCTACTTACCCTGGGCTCCACGTGAGGGCAGGTGCCAAAGAGCAGTGAGAGATCATTCAACAATTTTAAACATTGTTTTCCACAGACACACCACTGGGGTGCAGTATAGGATAATGGTTAGCAATGTGGGGCCCAGCTAGCAGATGCCAGGCAGAGGTCCATTCCCAACTTCTTATGACTTCTTACAGGACCCTGGGCAGCAAACTGAAAGTTCCTCTCATTTCCATTTTTTTTAATACTTTTATTGGGGGCTCTTACATCTCATACCACAATCCATACATTCCTCCAATGTGTCAAGCACTTTTATACATATGCCGCCATCATCATTTTCAAAGCATTCTCTTCCCGCTTAAGCCCCTGATATCAGCTCCCCATTTCTCCCCCCTCACTCCCCCACCTGCCTTCCCTCTCTAATTTCATTATTTGCTAGATGAAATAAAAATATCTCCCCATTAAGTTGTACGGATTAAAGGAGCAAGCACAGTAAAACACTTTAAGAAAATGTGCTGTTAGAAATACTACATAAACGTAAGCTGTTATTATTTCCCATAAAAATATGCTTTGAGAAAGTTTAGAACCCGCAGAGCCGTAGATGTTAAATTTTCTATTTTAATCATTACTTTGTTCTTTAATTTCTCAAAGTCATGCACAGAAAAGGTCTTATTAGTATTTAAATAAAATGTTACAAATATTATACCCCAGAAAAGTCTATAGTGAGGTTAAAAATTAACCTTGGGAGTCATGTACTGCAGTGTTTCCCCATTTCTTTGTCCACAACAGGCCCACAGTACAAAATAGTCTACAGTATGAAATAGTCTATACGTTGACTATACTAACTATACTATACTATAAGCCCATAGCCATATAAATATGAATAAAAGTCATGTATTTCCAAAATAGATATTATTACCAGAGTAGCTATTTCAAATGTTACACACGAGACTTCTCAACAATGTAAGTTGCAACAAGCATTACAAGTGGTTCAAAAGAGTATGGTACCGGTAATTATGTAAAGTACCAGAGTCAAATGATTTGTCTGCTTTATAGAGAAAGAAACTTGAGTAGACTTAAGTTTATCCCCAAAAGCCTCATTCGCGTTCTAATACAATCTGTTCCAGAGAGCTCGTTTCATTTTGCTTCAGGAGTGGTGCTCCAGCTAGGGTGGTGGGCAGCATGTCTGATGCTGAGAAACAAGCCGAGGGCCTGTGGATTAGAGGCGGCAATTTCTCTGGCCCATGGCTGCTTGTGTCCACCCTTTGTAACTCACGGTGCCTTGCCTCAAGTTTAGGGCCCACCCTTGGGCGTAGGGAGGAGACCATTTCCATTCTATCACAGGCATCTAATGGCAGGTCGACTTGCTCGGATACTCACAGGTTCCACGAACTCAAACTTCTTTCTTTCTTGGATTTCCTGAAGTTTACACACATATTCCAGAGACAGCTCATAAAAGTGTTGCCGGTTTTGCTCCACTTGGATGTCTGCCTGTGTTAAAATAACGCAGCTAAGTCAAACTGGAGAGGGTGAGAAGTGAGCCTTTATTTTAGGGCTTGGCAAACAACAGCGCGGGGACCAAATTTAGTCCAACGGCCTGCTCTTTGTAAATAAGTTTGTATTGGAACACAGCTTAGGCAGCACCTTCCAAAGTGGAGGACACCATCCCCTGGGGAGCACTGTGACGACCAGGGGGGCTGCAAAAGCAGCTGCCCACCTGTTGTCCTGGAGGATGAGCTGTGGTACCGTGTTTGTTCATTGCCAGGGAGGTGCTGAGCCATTTGTCTTACAAGGGGATGGTGGACCACGTAAGTCTAGGAAACTACTTTCCGGATTGATACAATAGAGGAACTGAATAGTTGCAACAAAAACCTATCTGCTATCTGACCTTCAGAGTTCATTTGCCAAGTCTTGCTCTAGAGGACAGAACTTAACCTCAATGGACTGCAGACCAGTCTGCAAAGCTTGCTTTAGTGAAAATCCCATACACGACAGTCTGAACCACATACATAAAATCAGAATCACATATATACCAGGAACTGCTGCTACAGACATAGCAGAAACATGAAAAATGTTGCCAAGGCAAGTAATTTATATAGGTATGCGTTAGAAGGCAGCTGATGGCTGTGTGTGTGTGCGTGTGTGTGTGTGTGTGTGTGTGTGTGTGTGTGTGTGCATGCACACACAAGAGACAGAGCAATTATTGGTGGTGGGGTGGAGGAATCGCAGAAGTATCATTTCAATTAACAGATCTTCTGAGACCGAAGACTACTTGAGCAAGCGGCTGGGTTTGCAACATACAGTGATCTATGTGACAGCGCAGAACTGCCCACAGAGCTTCCTGGGAGAGCCTTTGTATGAGCGCAGACCACTCATGCTTCTCCCACGGAGCAGCTGGGGGCTCCCAACCCCAGCTCTCAGTGAACGGCCGAGTCTGCGGCACCCCGGGTGCCTCCAGGACTCCTTGTCTGAGAGAGGGCCAGAGCACAGGCTGCGAAGTCCCAGGCATCCGCCATCAGTGAGTGACGGCAGCAGCTGACCACTCAAGAGCCGGCTCTTCAAGGAGGCCCAAGGCTTACAGCCGCTCGAACCCTCCCACAGTCTGCCCCAGGGGCGGGTACGGGCCCCAGCGGGTCAGAGGCCCTTCTGAAGCCCCTTCCAGCTGACCTTCTCACCTGCACAGAACTGAGAGGGCAGCGCCCAGTTCCTAACAGGCAGCGCAGGGGGAGGAGTCTCATCCAGGAAGCGTTCTGATGATGCACCGTAATGTTTTCCCTCATCTGGCTCGTTTTAATTTAAAAAGTACTTAATAGTTATACTAAATATCTGGCTCCTTTTAATTTAAAAAGTACGTATCTAATACTTAATAACATGCCTTTTTGTAAGCACTCAACATTTTGTTTTAATGGTTTTATTAGTGCTTCATACACATGTCATACAATTCAATAATTCAATCATAATCAAGAAGACTTGTAAAATTATATCAACACTCAATTCCAGGACATTTTCTTCTTCCTCGTACTTATTCATTGTTATTTGTGATGCTTCTTTAAGTAAACTAATACTTAGATATAATAATATAGGTGTTACATTAAAATAAAAACTTCTGCCTAGCCCACCTCAAAATCTTGATATATTTGATTCCACGAACTACTTTAACAATTCAGCCTCCAGCAGTTCAAAGGGAATAATTCTCCCTAAAACAGTGTAATTCTGTTGATGAGTAGTTAATAAAGTGCACAGACATGGTGAGTTAAGGATGATCTCCTCATTTTTGCGCGACACAACCCAATCCCCAGAAATCCCTGGTGTTGTCAGGAACTCTGTCTCACAATAATACCACAGACGTCCACACTCCAATGATTTCCTATAGTCTGGCTTGAGTCAAAAGGTCACCGCTATACCAAGCTGAAGTCAGTCAGTTATCTTTGACAGACATAAAATTTGTGTTTGATAACCATCTAAATTCTGTCCATTTCTTGCGACCATATGTATTATTAAACAGATTAGCTTAATATGAAGTCATTAAAAAGGCACACTTCTCTAATCATTTTCTACTAAAATATGGTTACTGGGGTGGTGCACTTTAAAAATCAACAGATATAGAGTTTTCTCAAAAATCAAATAGTTGTCGTAGTTTAAGTAATGAAGAGAATTTAGAAGCATAGTTGGAAAGAAACTACTGGGTCTAAACAGTACAGGGATGAAGCTACAGATCTAATGGAATTACCAAATTAGCCGGCCTAGCTGGTGCCACAATGTTTTCCCTACGAATCTCACTTAAAACAAGAGGACAGGATGATTAGACAAGCCTCTGGGCCTCTGTTCGAGACCATGCTCCACACCCTTTAGTGAGCACATCAACTCCAGTCACTGAAGATTGCATTGAGCACTGGCAAAGTAATTGGGGGCCCGATCTAACTTATCCTCTTTAAAAAACAGCCCTTGCTTCTGAACATCCTTCATAATGAAAGTAGAAGACTTCTTTAAGTGAGAGTTTGTATACTTGTGAAAAACAGAGGACAAAACAGGGAAAACCCTGGCATTGGAACATAACTCAAACTGCGCATCTTTCAGAGTGCTTTGTCTAATCCTGATCTTGGGGGATTGTTGAAATCGCCCAAGCTCTGGACTACTATCTAAATATCTTCCTCCTTGTTCATTTCAAAGTATTTACTGAGTATCTGTTCTCTGGCAGGCACTGCTCCAGGCACTGAGAACAGAGTACTAAGTACAAAAATGTGTTGTTACTGCCAATGAAATACAACCACATCATAAAAAGTAAATAAACAGGATGCCAAAGTATTGTTAAGAGTGTGGGAAAAGAAACGAAGCTGAGTACGGGAGATATTCTAAATACAATGGTCAGGTGAAACGTCTTTAATAGGTACCCCTTGAGCAGAGGCCAGAAGCTTCTGGAGTGCGGGGCATGGGCCTTGGCAGAAGGAAGAAGAAATGCCAAGGCCCTGAGCAAGGAGGGGCTTCTCTCAGTCCAGCCAGTGTGGCCAGAGGGGTGGGTCAGCTGCACCCAGATCACAGGGGATCCTGCGAGCTTCTGGAGATGGCCTTTAAGGGTTGTTTGGAAAAGAGGGTGGGCATGTAGCATCACTGGTTGGGGTGCTGAGCATACACTGCATAAAGATAAGGGTGGCACAGGGAGACCAATTCAGAGGCCTGTAAAGTAATCCGTGTTAGAGACAGGGCCTGCGTCTTGAGCCAGAAGGGCAGGAGAATCGGCCATGGTAAAGGACTTATGCCTGAGCAATTTAAAATGAAATACGTAGTCAGTCAAAGACGTAGAGATGGAAATTCTCCCCAGGATACCTGAATAGAGGTAAGAGAGAAGAGAGGCAGAAAATTGCTGGCACAAAGAATGAGGACCAATAAAAACAACCGCTGTCATTCCACAGCTAACAGAGGGTGGGTGACGCGGGCTGATGGACAGACACGTGGCTCTCTAACATAACACGGAGCGTGGAGAACGTGGCGCTCTGTCTAACTACGAAGTGGTGAGGACGCAGTGGTCAGAAAGCTCGTTCTCTTTTGTAATCTGCTAATCACCATCCAAATGTCAGTCAGAGGTTTGAGAGGAAAAACAGAATGTGACCAGTGGAAAATATCAGAACAAGAATGCATGCCTGCACACATGTACACACACACACACTTTCTCTCTCTGTAACTCAATAGTTGACACTTAAATGATCCTGTGCTTACAGAGTCAATGCTTGGTGTCATTCTGATGGTGTCATAATAAGTAGACATTAATAGAAGTGCCTGAAGCCCAGATTACTTAGGTGCATAAAAAGAATTAAATGAGAAAAACTGTACTTTTGTATGGTCTAAGACCCTTATGACTACATACAGCATTCTTTCCATGACAGCATATATTCTGGATTATTAACAATTGGGCATGCAAGTGTGAGATGGATTGAAAACAAACAACAACAAAAAAAGTGGCAAGGAATTTAGAAAAGAAAAATGGGTGATAACATAAATCTTTTTCCTACATCTTAGCCACCTCCTCCTACCCCCAAAATAGTTGAGCCATCATACAAGTACAAGAAGACAGCATCACTTTCTAACAAAGCTGAACTTCCTGAATTGTTAATGTTAAAATTAAAGATGCCTTCCCATACAAGCAAAATTGCATATGAGCTTATTCCATTCAATGTCTTTCTTCAGGAAATCTGAAAGCCAGTTAATGGCTTCATATTGCCCAATCTAATATATCTATTCCTAAGTAATGCTGGTTAAAATGACTGTTTTGGGGGGCGGGGGGCAGAATCCTCCAAAGTAAAACTTCTACTAACATGAATGGAAGCTCAATTAATTGCTGTAATATGTGTTAATAATTTTGTCTTGTTCCACCGAAGGCGTTTGTTTGTTTGTGGTTTTGTGGGGTTTGGTGGGGGGTTTTTTAGAAGCTTTTTTCTGAATGTACGGCGATACCTGTCATTCCCCACCCCCATCTCTACATAATCCTAGATGGAAAGGTTCTAAAGAAAATCATATTTTTAAAAAGAGAGATAGATGGCCTGCTCATTAAAATTTTAGATGCGAATTAAAAGAAAAAAGATACCTCTTGTAAATGTGAATCTTTCTTTTTTGCCGATAAATTCAAATGTTTATCAATTAGGCTATAGTTCTTCTCCGTCTCTTTGTCAAACTTCTTCTTTTCTTCCTACAAATAAGAAAACAGACAAGAAGAATTAAACTGATGGGAGGGGCATGCATGCACAGAGTTAACCCACTGGAAAGCTCATATGAAAAAGTATCTGAAAATAAAACAAAGTACCACTGAGGGGACGAAGTTACTGAAAAACATATCTGCGCCCTGGCCAGTCTTATTAATCATCAAGACACCATTATGATTATAGGCTCACTTTTCTTTCCCTTTTTTCCTTTAATGGACTTTTTCCCAAGCCAATAGTATTTTTCAACTCTTCATTCATATCAGCGTTAAGAATTAATGTTATGTCACTTATCCCTCACATATATAAAAAAAAAAAAACCATACTAAGTAGAACATAAAGCCGAAGAAAGCAAGCTCACTGTGGATTCTGGCACAGGAATGGAATTCATTCAAAACTGAATAAAAACGTCTGTTCTAGATAAAAGTCATCGTCCTCAACATCACAGTTGGGAAAAACAACGCCTTGGGAAAAACTGGTCTTGCCTTCGTGGTCATATAGGAACCGTGATGGCATAGTGGTTACACATAGGGCTGCTAAGTGCAAGGTCGATGGTTCAAAACCACCAGCGACTCCACAGGAGAAAGACGGGGCTTTCTTCTCGGTGATCAGTTCCAGCCTGGGAATCCCGAGGGGCAGTTCTACCCTGTCCGTTAGGGTCGCTATGAGTCAGCCTGGACGCGAGGGCACTGTGTTTGGAGTGGTCACATAAGACTAGGGCGGAAGATCCTCTCACCAGAAAGAGGTTCCATTCTCTCCACCTCACCAGGACTTATCATGCGATTTGGAAAATGTGTCCGCAGGCGAACAGGGTCTAAAACAATACTGACATATTTGCACTGCCTCACTGGTGAAGATGACTAACATTTCTCAGGTACTTTCTAGAATTAGCATTTCACATGCCTTCCAGTGTAAACGCTTTTTGAGAAAACAAGCAGCCAAATTTTTCAATGCCAAGAAGATGAACTATCTCCCCGATACTGCTTGCCAACTTAGTAGATTCAGTATAAACACTCCCTCAAACCAGGGAGAACCAGCTAGATTCCTCTCACTGTCAAAACGATTCCATCAACATCACGTCTCTCTACCCCTCCATCTCCTCCTGAAAACAAACACTGCCTTCCCCGTTTCCCATTTTCTACAGCAAACATATAGCACGAGACCCATCCTCTCTTTAAGGTGTTTTTTTAAGTTCTAAGTACTTTTACAAGTCTAACGTATTCATGTTTGTGGTTATGATGTTTTTTGTTTTGCATTATTATGTTCTTTACCAACTATTTTAATGACTAACATAAAGTTAGCTAAAATAAGCATGTGGCCATTATCTAAGAAGCACCACTATTTGAAAATGTTGTTGCTACAAAATAGGCATTGCCTTTGCTTCAGGATGAGATTCTAGTCCTGGCTACTTATGACTGTGTGACTGTGCATGTGAACATGAGGGTTCTCATGTCTGAAAGAAAAGAGGAAAAAGTGTCATGGTTTGGTATCTATCAACAAGATATAGTAAATATATATAATGTGAATATTAGATATAACATAAGTATGTTTATAAGTGTTATATATAAAACACAAATACATATTCACGAGATATATATATATATATATATATTAACTTTCTTTAAAACTAGAACTTGCCAAACTAAAATCAAACTAACTCAGTGCCATCCAGTCGATGCCAACTTAAAGGTTTCTGAGACTTGTTAGGAGTAGAAAGCCTCATCTTTCTTCCATGGAGCAGCTGGTGGTTTTGAACTGCTGGCACTGTGGGTAGGCAGCCCAACCAGTAAGCACTAGGCCCCCCAGGGCTCCCTTAGTACTCACTGGGATTAGGGAAACCATGTTTACTCATTTATGTGGTTTCATCGGATCAAAATGCGAGACAAAGGAAGCAACAGTGCTGCTGAAATCAGCAGTCAAAGCGCTCAGTGAACTCAGCAGTAGGAAGGTATGTAAACTAACATGTGGGCGACGTTGGGAATGTAAGAAAATAGTGGACCAAGGCGCTGCGAAGAAAGAATTTAGTCCAGGAAAAAAATAAAACACCCACCACTCCAGAGTAGAAATACACTCACTCATTCATACAGGGTTTGGTATTACAGAAATGCTCCTGTGTTTTGTTTTTAACATTAAGACTTAGGTAATTCTTTCTTCCTGCATTTGTTTTTAATGCCATTACAGACTATTAGCCTGCTTCTTGTGGCTGTACGATTTCCTGTTCTGAAATAATATAGTTTTTCACTGGGATTACGTCCAAATCGCATTTGATAAAGGAGCTTTTTTTTTCAACACTGTATTATAGAAATATATATAGCATTCCTTAAACATGAGCCAAAAGGTTCCATCAAGAACTAGTTGAATACAAAAAAGAACTGTTAAATACCAAGTGAAAATACTCATGAAGCACACTTTACAAGCGTAAATGCGTGTAGGCAGCAATATAAGCTAAGAAAGCCGACTGGGAGAGAGACACAGTAAAGGGAGGTTAAGAGGAAGCCAAATATGCCATGTGCCCCCAGCAGCAAAGGCCCAGCAGATTTGTGTCATGTGGGAAGGTAGGCCCTGTGGGGCCATGTCTTCTCATCTTGCAGCCACCACTGAGAAATCAAGTGATGTTTAAACAGTAGCAACCAATTTTAAACACACACACACACACACACACACACACACACACATATGGGTAAGTAAAACATATTCTTACTGGGGCTCCAGTTCATAAATGCCTGGGTTCTCGCAAACAAACATATTTAAGCATGTCTCTGCCAGCACAGTTCTCTCAGGGACACACGTTTCAGCCTCGTTAGGGCGCCTTCCCACCCACCCATGAGAAAAAGTCCACTCAAAGGAGTAGCCTCTGAGGGACTCGGCTGGCCTTGCCGAAGTCAAGGCAGAGCCAAGGCAGAATATTATGGTGACTAGTTTTTGAGCGTCTAAAAAGGTCATCTTTATAGATTTTGCTCCACGGACACAGTATAATCATGGGGGGAGGGTGTGGATTGTGAGGGAGAAATTTATGAACGCGGAATGTGCAAGAAAAATCAGAAAAGTAGCAACGGGGACTCACTCCCGCCCCCGCCCCACTCCCCACTAGAACAACGCATCAGTTTGTTTAATTTAGTGTGTTCACGGGGAGATGGCCCGATCTTGTCCCTTCGGGCTTCTTATTCTGAAAAGCAAAAGAGCATGTAAAAGGAACACGATCGGAGCTCGCTGAGGGTGCTGCTGTTTTAGCACACTATATACCAGAGCGCTCAGAATTCTCGGGGGGAGGTGGGGGGTTATCGCCCACGCAGTGGCACCGCCCATCTTTAGCCATTCGCACAATTGTTCCGTTTGCGCCCACTGGTCCACCCACGGCGTCAAGTCATCTCGTCAAGTGTCTCCCT